CCTGCTGAAAACCCCTTTTCAAACTTGATTTTCAGTCTTATCAGAGACTGTCTGCATCCAAGCTTATGATCTAGCAGATGCCAAACTAGAATTCTGGATTTGCAGTTCAGGCACAGACAATTTTTTTAGACTCATTAGATTCCATTTGGTTCTCCCAGAAACGTGAGAGCCTACCTATGCTTCCAAGACAGCAATAGCTCACTGACACATCCTTCCCACTTAGCCACTGGAACTAGGAAAAGGAAAACTCCAATTGTGTGCTACGAAGGGTAGTAAAGGCTTCATAAAACAACAAAACTATGCACAGAATATGCATTGGCTTTCCTTACTGTACGGTTTCAGCAAGCCAACAGAAATTTTTAAAACTGTTGAGTACAAATTAAGGCACTAACACTTGGAGAATTACATGTACACAGAGCAGCTAGACTTCAGCATAACAACTTCTTCTTACATTCCTTTTAATTACGAAGAGAAAAATAAAGATTTTTTTTTTCCTTAGGATTCAAGACTTCTTTGTTATGACCAAGACATTGCACTAGAACTCAAAATCCATCCAGGCATCAAGAGTACACTTTTGGATGAGCTCTCAGTCTCTTCCAGAGAGAAAGACACAAGAGGACCTGCCTCCATCAGCAGAAGGATGTGATGGCAGGGCCAGAAGCTCCCTTTCTCTCCCGATTTGCATAACAAGAGAAAGAGAAATACAGGGCATTTTTAGCCACCACATGTCATTCAGACTTTTGTTCAACCTGACAAAGGAAATCAGCTAGGAGCAGACAATTCTGTCCTTAGAGAGATAATTAATACTTCCTTTGAAGAAAAAAAACCCTACCATTTACCTGAGAACATATAATAAATTGACCATCAGTCAACAAGTCATCAACTCCCTTTCTGATAAATTATAGCCCAGCTTCTAACTGCATATTCCTGAAAACTTCCTAACAGTATTCGTCAGTATTAGTAAGAGAGGGCCAGCACATCCAGTGGCAGAGGAGGGCTATGTATTCTCACACTGCTGAATCTCCTTGGAGCCATTAAGAATGTAAATTATTGTAGGCACAAATAAGTGGGAAATTTGCATAACTAGTATAACTCTTCTTAAAGACACCAGGTAACTAGAAAGGAAAAACCTTTGTTTGAAAGTTTAGTATCACACACTCTTATCTCTGAAAGCATGCTGCATACCACGAAGTAAAAGATAGTATCATTCAACATTCTGTGTCACTGCTTCTCAAACACCTCACTAAGGCATCCTTCCTGTTAACCCCCCACAACAACAAAACTTTGGTAAGGCCAGAGTTGTTCCAGATACTATAACCAGAAGTAATAAAATGAAACAAGCTAACTAATCCTTTACAGCAATCTGCACAATATACACCACAAACCACATATTTATGATAAATATGGTTTCTTACATGTTAATTAATTTTCAAACATTAAAGTATCAAGAAAACTTTACAAGTTAAAAGTTTTCTGATTACCACCTTGTCCTGCTCCTGATCACCTCCTTTTTCAGGGGTTAGAAGGGAGAGAAGAGAAATGGGGAAGCAAATTAACAGAGGAAGAGTGAGAAACAAATGCAAACTTGGCTTAGCTATAAGGTAGCTTTTGGCCACTGCTTAGCACAGGCATTTTCGGTCTCTGAATTTACCCTCTAATCTAACTGTGAAGAAAGTTAATTCAACAGCATGCAGTACCCACCAAATACGGCTGTAAATTTTTGGGGAAGGAGGGTGATGGGGAGGTTGAACATATGGATGCAGTTAAGGTAAAAACAGATGTTTGTTACTTTTCTTTGCAGCAACACTCAGAAACTAAGTCAAAATTGCTTTTTTTTTCATGTTTATGTCTGAAAGAACTATAAAATTAAATATGAGGGAGGGAGGGTGAAGGGAGGGAGTGCAGTGAGTGTCACAGAGAAAGAATGAAATAGTCTCTATGTTTTGAACTAAAATCCTGAAAACGAAGGCCTACAGAATGAAAAGGCAACACACGCTACTTAACTCCAGATTTAAAGATCCTTAAAGAGACGAGTTAAGAGCTGCTTTCACCTTGCATGCTCAGACACACAACACTGAATTGTCTGAAGAGTCCCACAGCCACGTCAAAGTGCATGCCACAGTCTGAACAGCTACAGCAGTTCCTCTCCAGTCGTTCCTACCTCGTGCTACTGAACTCATCTGGACAACTGGAGGCTAGTCTCTGCC